ATCCAGTCTTCTTTCCACTGTGCCAAACTGTAACCCATAAAACTAAGGCAAATGAAACATAAAAACTCTCCTGAAAGACAAGTGACAGACTCAGGGTACAGACCGAGACTTTTTTTAACACAGCCAATGTGGGAATCTCTCTTGCTCGACTCCACCTGTTTGCAACAGGATCACAGGGAAGTGGGAGGGAAAGAAGGTAGATGATCATCAACTGAAAAAGAATTAGTTTTTAAAAAGAAAGAAAAAAAGAAACTGAGGCGAATCATTTCTATCTATTAAATATTTCCTAGTATCATTCAAGTGTGTGAAACTTTGTCTCCTCAGCTAGTAAGTAAGTTCTTTAGAGACAGGAAGAGTATATTAGACTTCTGTGTATGCTCCACGGTACAGCACGAGGACAGTCAGTGCCTCTAACCACCCAGGAGAGTGCAAGCTCCAGAAGGCCAGACTTCTTTGCCTTTTTATCCCCGGGGCCCAGCACACTTCCTGTCACATAGCATTAGATGGAAGCTTCTTAAGGGCAGAGACTGTTTTTGCCTCTCTTGGTATCCCTATGTACCTGGCACACAGTAAATGCTTAATAAATGCTTGCTGAATGGTGGAGATAGTGTTTAATAAATGCTTATTGGTTGGATGAATGCATAATAAATACTGTTTAGTAGATTTAAAGATAATAATAGCCAACCCTGGAAAGCAGACACCAGAATCTCAGAGACCATCTACACCAGCCTGGCCCTGACCAAGAGGCCTTTCTACACTGGCACCTCCAAGGGTCAGCCAGCCTCTACTCAAAGGCTTGCAACGAGAGGGAACCAGCCAGCACTCCAGGGAGCCCACGGGACATTGGGACAGCGCTCACCACTGAGGAGTTCTTAAACTCCAGGCCTTCTAGTGACATCCTGGGCCAGAAAATGAGGGGCTGTAACCAAGGTCTGCCAGATGCGTGACCTACGTGGCCTGGGACACGCAACACGTCCTCTCTGAGGCCGTTTCCTCATTTATAAAATGAGGGTATTAGACTAGCTGATCTTGGAGGCCCCTTTCCATTTCTAAAGCTGAATCTCTGATCCGACCAAGGAAACAAGAGGGGCCTTCCTTCCTCAGCGCTGCCCATCCCACCCCAGTGATTTTCCCAGACCATCCAGCCCCCCAAGGAGGCCTACTGGATTCACAGTTGGAGCTTTTCTGAAACTCTCAAGATGACCATTTCTATCAGAGAGAGGTACGTTTTCCTGAGGCTTTGAATATGGTCTTACTTTATCCACATAAACACTAAATCATTCCTCTCTGTTAGCACATTATATTTTGTTTGCTTTTTCCTTTTTTTTTAGGGAAAAGTTTGAGGAAGAAGCCTGAAATTTGCCCTTCTCTCTGCAGGGGAGCCCCAGGGATATCTGGGCAGCAGTCTGGAGCCCTGGAGCAAATACACGGGGAAGAAGAAACACACGGGCATACTTGTAATGGTAATGGTCAACAAAAGACTCAGGCCTTCCAAATCGCCTGTGGGGACTGTGCCGAGGGGCACGCGGCTGCGGGCATGAGGTGCTGGGCTCACACAGGCACATCTGCTCCTGCTCTTGGTTTTAACAGGAACAAACGGTCCCCACTCCTCAGGCCTCCTCCACAGTCCCCGTCCGACTAGTCAACCATGTCAAGACAAGGGCTCAACTTTTCAAATGGAGTTAGGCCCCAGGTGCCTCTGCCTAGCAGCCCCGGACATCTCTGACCTCAAGGTAAAATCTTGGGCATGAGTGTTAGAACAAGGAGATTCCAGCCCCAAGGGGAAATGGCCTGAAAATATACATCTATTTATATGTGTGCATGTTGTTACTTCCTATAACATATAAGCATCTTGAGGGTAGGAAGGATTTCATTTCATCTGGTACCTAGCAGGTGTTTAATAAATGCTTGTTCATTGATTTGCAAAGATAACATGATGTGAATGGTATTTATAAGGTCAGATGCTGGAGAAGGAGGAAGAGTTTAAGGGAGAAAATCCATCCAGGAGTATGCCTTGCAATCCTGCCTCTAACACATACTACCTGTGTGAATCTCAGAAAGTCCCTTCACTTCCCTGGGCCTCAGTTTCCTGCTCTGTAAAATGAGGTGACTGGGCTAGATGGCCTTTGAGGGTCCCTGCAGCTTTAGAGCTAGAATGCTGTGAACCAACCCTATAAGCTTTTCTGCATCTGAGGATTTGTAGATAGCTCCAGACTCCATCCTCTCCCTCTTGCTTTCCCTTCCTCTATCCTTTCCATCCCTCCCCAAAAGTCTGAAGACAACGCTCACTGGAGGCAAGGACGGTCACAGGTTTTGCAGGCAGGACTAAACTTGATCTGCTTAGCCCCAGAGGGGAGACTTAGGACCAATGAGGAAAACTGCAAAGTGGCAGATTTAGGCTTGAGGCCAGGGAAAGCTTCCTGCCAGTCAGGAAAGCTGACCCAAAGTGGAATGGGCTTCCTAGAGAGGTAGTGAGCTCTCCCTCCTTGGCAATCTTCAAGGAAAGGTTGGATGGCCAATCATCAGATATGCTGTAGAGATTTATTTTTTAATATGGGTTGGATTAGTTGGCCCCTCAGGTCCCTTCCCACACCGAGCTTCTGTGGGAAATGGGTGGGATGGCCACATCTGAGGCCTCATCTACAGTGAGGGTCTATTCTACAAGAATATAAGGACTGACACATCAGTTCCTATTCATAGCCCACCCATCCCAGGGTCTGGTCTCCAACACAGTACCATGGATTATCCTCCGGAAAGAATATGGTCTTACACGACCTCACAGGATAGATCCCAAGACTTCCTTAGGCCCTGAATGGGTTTTTATCAAAAGAGGACAATGCTCCAGAAATGTTTCGGTCCTTCCTGGTCTTCTTTGTTCATTCTGTACCAACTCTTGGGGTAATGACCTCCCTAATTTGACTGCCCACTATGGAAAATGGTGCTCTCATAGCTTACAGGGGTGATGAGACAGAGAGGAAGCAAAGGTATGAGTCCTGCTCTGCTTAATGACCAAGCCTATATTCTCTGTGGTCATTCCCCTCTTGGCTTGGTAGCCTTTGGTCATGGCTCCTTCTCTGCTTTTTCCTTTCCCCACTGAAGATTCGCCAAGTTTTTTTCATCTCTTCTCACCCATCCCATCCCACTGTTCACCTGAGCTGCCCTCCTTCAAGGCCTTCCCCAGCTCTTCTGTTCAATTCCATTGGACCCAACAGATATTTCTTAAGTGATAACCAAGAACAAAAGGGAACAGTTGCTTCTCTCAAGGAGCTTACATTTTACTGGGGGAACACGGCACATCCAGAAACTAACAGATGAGTCTAATACAAGTTACATCTTTCTTGAAGTAGGACCATTGTAACTGCACATGACGTTCTGGGTAGAGATGCCCTCAAACACAGCTACAGGACAGAATAACACTGGTTTCATTTTCAGTTCCCTTCCTGGAGAGAAGATATCTGGGATTTGGGGATATGCATCGTATCAAGAGACAGATTATAATATGTCAAGATGTTCTTTACAGTCTGGGTCCATCTTTGATACTACTGCCTATGGAATCTTGGGCAAGTCATGAGCACTGCGTCTGGCACACAGTAAAGGCTTAATAAAGGCTTGATTGATTTATCTCCCCAGGCCTGTAGTCCAACTGCAAGATGAAGGTTATACTCAATAGACTCTGAGTCCCTTCCAGTTCCAGATGTAGGACTCCATCATTCGAAGCAGGAGAAATGAGCCAAGGTAAGAGAGAAGAATGCCTTGGCGGATAAGTGGCACCGTGAATATTCCAAATCCAACTTAGACGCTCACTAGCTATGTGGCCTTGAGCAAGTCACTTCACCACTGTCCGCCTCAGCTTCCTCACCTGTAAAATGGGGATGATAATGACACCTATCTCCCAAGGTTGCTGTGAGGAGCCAATGAGATAACGTTTGCAAATTTCTTAGCCTGGCACACAGTAAGTGCCTAATAAAGGCTCACTGTTCTTCCTTCCCCTTGAGTACTTGAGGGAGCCAGTCAAGTTTATAAGCTAGTCTGGCTAGAATGAAAGTATTCACAGAGGGAAGGTGCTGGAGACAAGGAAAGAAAGGTAAGTTGGGATCAGATCGTGGCAGCCCTGGAATGCCAAGCTAGGGACTTTGAGGTTTATCACGTAATCAGAAGGAAAATGTGGAAGGTTTTTACACAGGGACATGATCAGAGGTAAGCACTAAGAGGATTAACTGAGCAGGGTTCTTCAGAATGGATTACAAGGGGAAGAGATTAGATGCGCAGAAGGTTGCTAGAAGAAGAGAGAGCTGATGTGTGGCCCTGGGTGACCTGGGGCAGTCACCTAGCCCACCCTCCCCCTTCCTCACTTTCCTCATCTGTAAAATGAGGTGGTTTGGCTGGAAGGCCTCTGAGACTCCGCCCCAGTCTAACTGTCCAATCCCACCATGCCCCTTGTCCTCCCTTCTCTCTTACTGGCGCTATGTTCCAGTCAAACTCCATCCCTCCCTTTGTCTTGCCCTCCCACACTCACACTTGTTCTTTGTGTCTAGAATGGAATCCTTCTCCCTCCCTCAGATAAAGGGGCTGGATCCAATCACATCTGAGGTCCCTGCCAGAGGTTTCAGTGCCTGACACACAGAACATACTCAATAGATGCTGGATTTATTGACTCCAGTCAAGGGAACCTGGCTCCAATATTTACTAGCTGTGAGACCCTGGGCAAGTCGCTTAATTTCTTTGGGTCTCAGCTTCTTAATCTACAACATACAGCTCATACCAGCAATTCCCAGAGGTGCCACGAGGGCGTTATCGCTTGGCCAACCTTAAAAAGCTGGAGAGATGAGTGCCGTTCCTCCGCCACCCCACAACGTGTGAACCCGAAGGCGGATCCAGGGCAGGCCCATAATGAGCTGCCCTAGAGGGCTGGGGGCTGGTAGTCTCTATCCTCCCCATGTACCCCCTGCCCAGCCCACGAGGGAGAATCAGGAACTTGTGCCATTCAAGTAAGCGTTCACCTCTTCAGGCCGGCTCAGAGCGTGTCCTTCGGGGCCAGTGATTCCCAGCTCCAGTATCCTTTGCTGCTCCTGTGATGTTGGCGTGGTGGGACAGAGAGAGAGAATAAAGAAAAATGCTTAAATAACATCAGCTGGGGAAACAACCCCAGAGTTGGAGGGAAACCTGGAGGGGCAGTTCTTTAGCCAACCTATAAAATGGCAGAGCTGACTCTATGGGACGGTCAGTAAAGACCCTGCGAGAAAAGCTGGGGATCCCCTGCATCCAGATCAAATTGAGCAGTGGCTTATGAGTTACAGCCCCCCGACATGTTTCAGGCCATTGGAACAGGCTGAAAAATAATGCATTCCTGGCCCTGTACCACTAGGGTCGAATATCCAGGGTTAACCAAAGAGTGAATGGATTCCACCCCAGAGACAAGGGCATTGCAGCCCTAAGTGAAACAATCCCCCTGGGGAAGGGGGAGAGGTATGTGTAGACTAGGCTCTATACTGCTGTGGTCTCAGGGGAGACCACATGATTTACAGGAGCGCCAGGCCCTAGCGATGCCAAACAGGCCTGAATGGAAAAGTATATCCCATTGTCTCCTTCGTTACCAAGGGTCTACGATGCAGGGCTGGTGCTTCCATGCACATACCCTGCTTTGATCTGGGGTTACTAAGGAAATGACTGGATAGGAGCACATTACCTCTGCAATGATGTCGCCATTTTCAGCATGAACCTGGGCAATGGCACCAATGTCACGGATGACGCTCAAGACTTCATAGATCTGGAGGAGAGTTAACGCAGTTAGTGCTTGTGTTTTCTACTCCCCAGGCATAAACCTCTTCTGGGTCAGGGTACCATTCATTCCAAATCACAGATTCAAAAGTGGAAGGGACCACAGAAACCATCTGTTTCAAACCCTTTGTTTTACAGGCGAGGAAACTGAGGCCCAGGGAGGTGAAATGATTTGGGCAAGGTCAGACAGGTAAACAATAGGGCCAGGATTTGAATTCTACTCAAAGGATCATAGGTTTAGAACTGAAAGAGAGTTCAGAGGCTATCTACCCCTACCTCTTCATAGGTGAGGAAACTGAGGCCTAGGGAGGTAAAATGATTTCCCCAAGGTCAGACAGGTAAATGATAGGATCTGGATTTGAACTCAGGTCCCATGGCTCCAATGTCACTGTTGTCCCCCTGTATTCCACTGTTTTCCCTGTAATCCTGTCTTTTTAAGTCTCCTTTCCCAAGCCCTCAAAGAGACATTTATGGGGCACGGTTTGTGCAGTGGGGCCACTCAGCATTTCAGAGGCAGCATAACCTAGAAAATCCTGGATGGGGACCCAGAAGCTTCTGAATTAGTTTGCTGTTTCAGGCTCAGGCTCACTCAGAGAAACCCTAAGGACGGCCCTTTGATGGATGCCCTGGGAAAGCTGAGAAAACCTTATTGACAAGGCAAGCCACTTCCACGTGGCGGCAGGCACCATCACAGGATAAGAGAAGAGAGAGAGAACAGGTTTGTGGGATTCACATTGAGAAGGGACCTCAGGAGAACGCTGTATACAGTAACAGCTACATTGTGTAATGACTGACTTTGATAGACTCAGCCCTTCTCAGCAATGCAAGGATCTAAGACATCTCCAGGTCTCATGATGGAAAATGCTATCCACATCCAGAGAAAGAACTATGACATTTAAATGCAGATTGAAGCATGCTATTTGCTCTTTTTTTTTCTTCTGTTTTTTTTTGTTTCTTCTTTCTTGTGGTTCCTCCTATTGGTTCTAATTCTTTTTTACCACATGACTAATGTGAAAATTTTTAATATGAATGTATATGTAGAGCCTCTATCAGATTGCATGCCATCTTGGGGAGGGAGGTGGGGAGGGACAGGGAGAAAATTTAAAACTCAAAAGCTCATGGAAAAAAAAGTTTATGGAAGCAAATGTTGAAAACTAAAAATAAGTTTAAAAAATAAAGAAAAATAGGGAAAAAAAAACAAAAGGAACCTCAGAAGTCATTCAGTCTGACACCAGCCAGAGTCCTTACTGGCTAGGTTCACTCCTGGGTGCCTCGGCTTAGGACAGGTGCCCCATTGACAATGCCCATGCCCCATGAGGCGAGGTTAAAGGAACTGGGCATGTATCGCCAGGACAAGAAAAGCCTTGGAGGGGGAGCAAGGGGGGTAGAAATGACAGATATCGTCAAGCACATTTTAAGGCTATTATGTAGAAGAGATTCATCTAGACTTTCTGGCTCCAGAAAACAGAACTAGGAGCCATGGGTGGAAGCTGAAAATGGAGGCCAACTGAGGCTAGACTTCAGGAAAAACATCCTACCAATCAGAGGTGTCTCTAAGTGGGTCTGGCTGTGTCAGGAAATGGCAGGTCCCCTATCACTGGACCTCGTCAACCAGAGGCCGGTTAACCACAAGATGGGTACAGCCACGGCCATTCTTTGGGGGATGTGCATTGGATTAGATGGATTAGAGGTCCCCCCAACTCCAAGGTTCCATGATTCTGTGATTCTGTAGTTCAACCCTCTGGTTTTACAAATGAAGAAACTGAGGCTAGTAACGGTGAAGCAAAGTACCTAAGGTCACACAGCTTAAGCAACAAAGATAGGATTTGAACCCAATGCTATGGGACCTTAGACAAATCACGTCATCTCTATCAGACAAAGCTAGAGAGAAGTTGGCCTCAGAGACTTGAAAACCTGAGGTCAAGGCCTGTTTCTGACACCAGTTATTCTTTTTTTTAACCTTTTTTTGGGAGGCAATACAGGTTAAGTGACTTGCCCAAGGTCACACAGCTAGTATGTGTGAGAGGCTGGATTTGAACTCAAGTCCTCCTGACTCCAGGGAGGGGCTCTATCCACTGAGCCATCTAGCTGCTTCTCATACTAGCTATTCTTAAAAAAGGAAAGAAAGAAAGAAAGAAAGAAAGAAAGAAAGAAAGAAAGAAAGAA